CGTACGGAAAATCTTTTTTTATTCATACGAATCGTTGCAAAAGTTCTGTTTTTTTAATTGTGTTTCTAGCAGTAAACGGAAATTCGCAACGTTCCGAATAAATAAAAAAAGATTTTCCGTACGTTTGAACGGCAGTTAAAAAATGCGTATAATTTTCGTCACGAAATCGATATATTAAATTTTGTGTTTCTAGTTCAGCTTTCGTCACTCGAAAATTTTACCTCAAAGAGGTGTTTTATTTGATATCAATTATTTTGGGGTAGCAAATTTAAAATCGACGAAAATACAAACAATAAACTAAATCATTAATCGTACAGTTGATAACGACTAATTAATTTTAATCGTCAAACGCGATTAACATTTTAATCGTTAATCAGATTAACAGTTTTCCAACACTGTGTGAAATCATGTTCATATTCACGGAGAAAAATCGACGTTTTTGGAAAAGAGGCGTAGCACCTCCCATACTGACTGAAAGTTTCATATTGCATATCCCTTCAAATGTTTGGGGTAAAGTACTCAAGGTTGGTATGGAAATACATATGTATGTATGTATGTGAAACTAATACCATACTCATGGAGAAATATGAGAGTTATTGGAAAAGGTGATGTGGCAACTCCCATGCATATTGATTTTTCTATGCCGCATATCTCAGGAGGTGTTTATTGCAGAGGACGGGAGCTTGGCACCGAGATGTGTATACAAAATTAATTCCATACTCATGGAGAAAAATTTGCGTTATTCGAAAAGGGGGCATGGTACCTCCCGTACAAATTTACTTTTATACTGCATATCTCTAGAGGTGTTCATGGTAGAGTACTGCACTTGGTACTGGGGTATGTAAAATCAATTCTAAATTCATGAAAGAAGATTAGGGTTATAAGAAAAAGGGGCGTGGCACAAACAGTGCAAAACTGTAACATCTGCCTTAATTTACATTTTTGTCTGCTGGTTTTTTTATTGTTGTTGTATTGACTTAAAATCATTATGAGAGAGGGAGTAGGGATGTACCAACAAGAATATATAACCAAAGTATGAAAGTCGTTAGAACTTGGAAAGATAGCTATGGATGAAGTAAAAAGTATTACACCATGTTACAGTTTTGCCCGTCACTGTACATGCCCCCTTAAACCGGCAAAAGCAAAAAAAACGTTTTTTGTTTCGCAACACTTTAGCCTAATTTTTAAGAATCCGGTTAATCGTTTACGAAGCTTGAATATATTTTCTGGACACACTCTGCAAGACCTTTCCAACGATATACCAAACATGTCGATTGGACGCATGATGCCATAATACAAGGTGGTATCAGTTGTGACAGCTCGATTTGACACTACCTTAGCTCAGTAGAATGAGAAGAAAAATGGGAAGAAATGAATCCCCATATGGGGGAAAAATATAAAATTTCACATTTTCTCCTTAACAAAATTTGCTTTTATATAGTATATTCGTTATGAAATGAAATAAAATAAGATAAAATACCTTTTTAAGAAAACAAAGTGTGTATACTGAGAAAAAATAAAAAGCATTCAACTATATTAATGGGCAAAGAATAGTGAAAGAAGTAACACTGTTTCACGTAAGGTAGTCAATATGGCGGAATTAGAGCGAGAAGTTGCCAACTGATAACACCTTGTATTATTGCATCATGGATTGGACGTCTGGATAAAAACTTCCAAATCTCGTGTATATATAAGCGAGTCATTTCAGCATGCTTCTGTTGCTGCTTTCGTCACTCGCGCGCACTGCCGTGCGCTGTGATACTTACATACATTTCGCACACCGTCCTCGAAAGTGGCACAACTAAACAAAATAATTTGGTAGATTTTTTGCATAAATCAATTCGTAAGATATTTCTCAAATTAATGAAACAATGTTTTGCTTCGTGAATATATTCTCTAACTAACAAACTAATGTTATACTTTTTTTTGTTTCAATTGCGTTGAATCTTTACGATCCACAAGCACTTTTACTATTTCCCGATCTAATTTTTGAGCTCTATGAATTAAGAATTGGAAAATCTAACACATCTTACTCAAATCTACCACATTTTTTTGCCGATTCTACCACACAAAAATTAAGAGGGGTTTGCACCAGTGTTGCCGCGAAGCATTTTTAGTAGTAGCCAAATTCCTTCAAAAAAAGGGCTAAAAAAGAGCTAAAAAAGTCGTTGTGGCTAAAAATGGTAGCTAAAATTGTTTACTTACATAATCATATATAAGTATACACGCAAACATTTTCAATAAGTAATGGTATAGAAAAACAATGAACCCTGGAAAAAAGCTAATATTTTATCCAACCAAAAACCTTTTCGTATAAAAGGGGAAATATACGACACCAGCTTGCTGGATCGATCAAGTGATTGTACCATCAAGCTCGAAGCATATAACTTACCACCATGCTGGTACAATATTTATTTCTTTACAAATGAGGTCGAGGAAAGATCGAAATGATTTGAGCCGAAATTTCATAATTTTTCTACCATTTTGTTAAACATTGTTTTTTTTTTTAATCACAACTGCAATATCGTGAACTTAATATTCCACAAACACAGCTTTGAAATTTCGGCCAAATTATTTTCTACTTTGAAAATTTAGCTAATTTCACCACTCACGACACCAGCACGCTGGTACAATCATAAAATTTTCAAATAGTTTTTGCAGTCGCACCAGCAGCTGGTACAATCACACCATAAGAACATACAAGGTCAATTGACTTTATGGGCCATTTAACTAATGAAGCATATTAGGGGCCAGTTTTTCAGTGCACGGCCGTGGTTCAAACTAAGTTTAAACGCCCGATCTGGCTGGTTTAAACTAAGATCAGCCAATCAAAAGTCAGCCAGCTGTTCAATTTAAACCCAGTTTACCTAATCTGAGTTTAAACTGGCACTGAAAACTGGCCTTAAGGGCGGTAAACTTATTTATTTTAAACTATAGTTAAATCGTTAATAGATAAGTTAAAAAACAGCCCTAACACTTATACAGTATGTATGTATAAAAACGTAAGGAACATACAATACATATATGTCAGTCTTTCTTAGTTTAAAAATTCATCTCTTACATATGTGCAAAAAAATAGATCAAATTAAGCATATACAACTTTTCCATGCCCAGTATGAATAAATTCTCCAAAGGGCTAAAAAAAGGGCTAGGGGCAATTTTAAATTTATGTGGCCAAAAAAAGTAAAGGTTTAAAACGGCAACACTGGTTTGCACACTGCTTACAAACAAAATACGGGCAGGAATTTCCGTATCTCAACCCTGTTTGTGTGAAATATTTTATTTTTATCAGTACTTATTTTNAAGGTTTAAAACGGCAACACTGGTTTGCACACTGCTTACAAACAAAATACGGGCAGGAATTTCCGTATCTCAACCAGGGTACGAAAATAAACTATATTGTACGTTACTATTTCGTTTCGTTTATTACTTCAACAGTTCGGTACAATACGAAAATAAAACGGCTGAGTTCACTTTGCGATAGTACACTACAGTAGTTTAGTAGTTACAGACGAAACAACAAACGAAATGAATCGTGCAGAGAAAAATATATGTATATATGTAGTACATGTTTTTTAATTGAATTGGATATGAAAATTGACAGAAAAAAATATTTTTCAAGTAATTGAAACGTTTGCATACATATAAAACGTACCCTATGGTACAATTGTCACAAACGAAAAGCAAACGTTTCTCGTTGGGGAAAATTACAGTGAATCTTACAATTTGTTTCTGACTATGTACAAAACTGAACAAAACCACAAATGATATGATGATCGATGAGCAAATGGGAATTGTTTTGTACAGTTTATTTTCGTACCCTGATCTCAACCCTGTTTGTGTGAAATATTTTATTTTTATCAGTACTTATTTTTCTTTTAATCAATCTATGTTGAAATAAAAGTGAAAATAAAAATAAATATTTTGTCAGAACCCCCCAAAAAAATCCTGGCTACGGCCCTGCATAGCATTACATATATAGAAGTCTGTTGGTTTTTGATTTCTACGTAAAAATGAAATTCTATGCAGTGCAGTGCCAAGTATGCATAACTGAGCTATTGGGGTGTCTAATTCATTTTACATGCTGTCGCGTTCTCATCGTTACGCTCTGGCTTATATACTTACGCTGTTTTAGCNCCCCCCAAAAAAATCCTGGCTACGGCCCTGCATAGCATTACATATCGATGGCTGAGTGGAAGATCGACCTATCTCGGCAGTCAGTTCGAAAATGCTCTATCTCAAAAAACTTTTCAAGAACACCCTATTTCAGAATTAGTTTCAAAAACGCCCTATCTCAGCTGCCGATTCAAAAACGCCCTATATCAGCATATTTTCAATACATTTTGAAGTGAGATAGGGCATTTTTGAACCGAATTTTGAGATAGGGTGTTTTTCAATTAAATTCTGAAATAGGGCGTTCTTGAAAAGTTTTTTGAGATAGAGCGATTTCGAACTGGCTGCCGAGATAGGTCGATCTTCCACTCAGCCATCGATATATAGAAGTCTGTTGGTTTTTGATTTCTACGTAAAAATGAAATTCTATGCAGTGCAGTGCCAAGTATGCATAACTGAGCTATTGGGGTGTCTAATTCATTTTACATGCTGTCGCGTTCTCATCGTTACGCTCTGGCTTATATACTTACGCTGTTTTAGCACCTGCTAACTCTCTGCCCATTCCTGATTATTTTTTCTCTTAAGATTAAGAATCTCTTGCCGATAGTATCGATACTATCGAATCGTGGGATCCAAAACTATCGAAAATTTCGAATGGTCCATCGGTAGATAGCGTCTATCCGAAATAGCAAATATAACTTCTATTTCTTGGACTTTATTGCTTTATCCATTTTTTCCTAAAACTAAATCGTGGTATAATGCTCAATAACACTAGTGAAATAAATATTTGTACGCCACAATAACAATAACATAATTCTTATTCTTTCAGATAAGTTCACAGATATGCTTTCGTGGAAAGGTTTCCAAGTGTCTACCAAGTTGTCATATGCAATTTATCTTACACAGTTCCCCGTGTTCTTCTTCAATGTGGGTCGCCGGCGACATATTCACCACTATTACAACTTCGTCTCCATCATTGTAAGTCACTCTTGCAGCCGTAAAGCATTTTGTGCGCAAATCTGAATTTACTTATCATCTAAAAAATTGTATGCCACTCTCCTTCTAGCTGGATACCAATGAATACATCTCCATATTCCTCGCCTCGGTTGCCCTTACAATATTTTTCGATGCACCATTCCAAAATATCAAAAAACTATTATTCAACCGTGCTCGTGCTCCGAGCAAGAAGCACCTGAATGTAACTTTGAGAGTATCAGCAGGAAACCTTTCTGATTCCGAATCGACACTATCATCAGAGCCGTCTACTTCATCAGTGACAAACACAACATCGTCGACAGCACCACCCCTAACAAATAGTTCGACATTGAATGGGAAAGTCATACATGCTCACATCGATTAATGATTCGTATTAAGTTTAACTTAAATGTCATTGTTTTAGCTTAAAGTGTATAATTACATAAGTCATTATTTAATAATTAGCGAGAGTTTTAGGCCATAAGTTTGTGATGCGTACTTCTAACTATCTACATACCTGTATATAACAAATATATTTTAAGAAGGATATTTTGTGTGTTTTATTGATATTCATGATCTATTCGAAAACTGTTTCGAACAAACACATATTTGGAACTTCTGCAATGATAGGACTAGGACAAGTAAGGTATTAGAAGCAATGTCAATTATTTCTGCATTAGAGTTACTTTGGTAAAAGTAAAGACGACACGGAAGATGAGCTACTTATGTATGTGCATATGTATTTACATATATTACCTTCGCAGCGGAATTATCCCTAGATAGGCTCACCGACACGAACTGTAGTCCTTACTTAAGTCATTGACGGATTCCTTAATATCATATTATTCCTAAAAGAGCATGCAAGTCACTACGAAAAGAGTAGATCTCTTGTTGCAAACCACTCCTTGCTTATACAAGAATTATTGAAAAACTTCGCGAGATGCTTTAGCGAGTTGCCGTTAAAGCTATATTCATTAAAATAAGATGATGCTAAGAAGCATAGTCTGGTGAGAGCAACACCAGGTGCTTTGTTATTTTCCACACCCCCTGCACTTATTAAAATATGCTGCAACAAGTTTGGCAATGCCTAGCAACTATCAGGAGCAAAGAAAGCAGGGCGAAACCGGAAGCCGGTAATACGACCAAAAGATAGAACATCTCCGACTTGGTAATTCATCGTCTCGTGGGACAAATACTAGAAAATAAAAGTAAGAATAATAAAACCTCAACTCCAGTACGGGAGGCCGGCGCTCCCAAACAAAGCCCTAAAGGAGTCAAAAACTCCTCACCCAACTAAGCCACGGCACCACCGGACCTAACCAAAAGTAGACCTATGCGTAAGCAGATACCAGGTGCATCTGCACCGACCAACAGTAGGACTAAGGCACCCTGATCCGAGAAGTCCAAAGGTCAATGCTACACACAAAAGTATCACTGAACGGGAGACCTGCACGGCGAACGCCGCAAATCCCGGGCCTTCCTGCAGTGGGCTTGCCACTCAGCGAACAGCGTCTGGCCAGCTCACTGGGGGTGGACCCAGGAACATGGTGACTTGCAATAGCGCCAAGGACTTCGTCCGAACTGACCGACCGAAAGCCACCCACCAAGATCTACGTACTGCGTCTCGAATTCTTCGGCGCCAGCCACCTCACCGATCAGGGAGGATCAGGTCTCGGAGGAGGACTTCGTGAAGGTACAGGAAGACATAGCGTGGGCCAAGATTATACCGGACTTCGACCTTAACCTATAGGGCAAGACTGAGACTACAAAGCGTCAAAAATCCGTGGAGAAAGCCCGACCCGGGCACTGGCACAGAAAAGGGCCAAAACACAAAGTGCCTGGACTCGATCATTTGCGGAGATAGCCACGGACCGGAAGGATATTGGCGTCGTGGACGAAAGTAATGAGGAAGGCAGGATCCCGAGAAACCAATGGAGGTGGGTCGAAGCAGCCTTGGCAAAGGTGGAATGCAGATTAAGAGGGTGAACCCTGGACCACCACTCTCGTCCACGGACGCTGGCTAGTTGCAGGGAAATGTCAAGCTCAGGTGTATCCGGGAGCCCGCCTAAATTTGTAGATGCCAGGGACATCCCATCGCGTCCCAGAGCGAGATCCAGGGTACATGTAACGCCTTCCGAACCTACACATAACTGGAGGGTTGTTAACACGGAGCCAACAGAGCGAGCAACAATGCAGGTAGTCCTGCTCCTAAACGATGAAAGCCTGGAGACACTCGCAAAAGGCGTATAGGGTAAACTATGGCTTTGGGAAGACTACGCTAAAAGTTTACAAAACTGACATCTAAGACCTAGTAATCTTGGCAGCTTGTGTGGAGGTGGACGAGCCACCCAGCGACCATGAGATGGAATTTGACGAATGTGAAGCAACCGAGGAGCTGAGCGGGTACCCCTCTTCCAGCTCAAAGGCAGGTAAGCCTTACGGAGGCTGTATACGGAGAGTGAACTTCTCAGCGAGGACGAAGCCAACGCGACAGTGTTAGAGAGGCGAGAATCGCATGATGAAGGNAGAGAGAGAGTGAACTTCTCAGCGACGACGAAGCCAACGCGACAGTGTTAGAGAGGCGAGAATCGCATGATGAAGGTACTACAAATCAACACTCATCCCAGTAAAGCCTCACCTGGTTCAACTGTCTTCAGGTTAAGTAGACATCGCTTAATACAAGAGGATCACTGGTAGGGTGGCGATAGGTAGCCACTAGAGCTGTAAAACTATCGATAGTCATCCCATTCGATGTTTTCGATAGTTTGCATTGAAACTTTCGATACCATCGATAGTATCTGATAATTTTAAAATGTGTTAACGAAGCTATTTATATAAACTTTAGTTTTGTTTAGTTCCTGAAGAATTAGCTAATTGTTATATAGCGATTTTCAGTAACTTTGTCCTTTCTCTTCGATTTTTTTAATATTTTAAACCGATAATATAAAAACTTAAAATTCCCAATCGTAGAAAAACAAATCGCTTGTAAACTTAAAGAAAACTGTATGTCTTACAAAAAACTTCAGAACTCACTCCAAAATTTTCGGAAAAGTGCATATTTCAAGCGTGTGCTACAAGAACTCAAATCATTGTACAAATAGCGTAACCGTACCCCGACTTCTACATGATTATTTATCCATTCAAAGTATCAAAAGGAAATACAAGGATCCCCAAAATGTTACTAGCCCTGGCTTATATCAATAGTTTCTTCCTTCTACGCAGAATCACTAACACCATAGTAAGGTTCCAAAAAGATATTCAAGCTGTTTTTTTTCAAATTAAATTACACCCGATGTACATGATTCAAGTACTTAAAAGCAATTCTGGTTCATTATTTTTTGTTTTTTTCTATTTGCTTTTATTCGCTTCAATTTTGTTGAATTCAAACTTTTGGTTCTTTAAATGGGAAACAACGAAAATGTCAAAAGCAAAGAAAGANGAAAGAATTGAATTCAATACTTGAATAGGTAAAAAAAAACAGCAAATCCACGTTGCCAAATTCTCATTTTCAAAAAATAAAAAAATTCAGTAGTACATATAATATACTTAAACAATCAGCCTTATCATGAGTTTCATTTTCCCCGAACCGGTTCAATTTTCACTCTTGGTTTCCATGGTTATACTATGGACGGATGACAAATTTTCGGGTGAATTTTTTTCAGGCGAAACTCAGGATAAGGCAGAATATGTATATTTCCTCAAACAAAGACTATCGATAGTGGCCAACGACCATTCGATAGTGCANTAGGTAAAAAAAAAAGCAAATCCACGTTGCCAAATTCTCATTTTCAAAAAATATAAAAATTCAGTAGTACATATAATATACTTAAACAATCAGCCTTATCATGAGTTTCATTTTCCCCGAACCGGTTCAATTTTCACTCTTGGTTTCCATGGTTATACTATGGACGGATGACAAATTTTCGGGTGAATTTTTTTCAGGCGAAACTCAGGATAAGGCAGAATATGTATATTTCCTCAAACAAAGACTATCGATAGTGGCCAACGACCATTCGATAGTGCAAAAAAGTAGAACCATTCGGTAGTATCGATAGTACCATCGATAGTTTTACAGCTCTATTAGTCACATACTTCGCTAGTGAGAATATTCATATGTTTATCGTTAATCTATCTCACAATCTCAGTTAAAAGTTAAGTTGTATTTTAAATTCAAATAAAATCAATTTTAAATTCAAATAAAATCAAGATCCAAATGCCAGAATTGTAAATATGTATGTATATTAGAGTGGTTCAAAAATTTTTTTTTTTGGAAATTCATAAACGCTAACTCAAATTATTGTTATTTGTGATAAAAAAAAAAGAGAAATGTGTTTTTTTATTTAAAAAAAAGTTTTCTTTGAGGTCGCGCTGGTCGGTTTTTTATAAAAACGCTGATGTTCTTAATTTTTTTTTATTTTCTTGACATGTTAAAATGCAGCTAAAAATGTGGTTTTTACATATAATTACTCTGGTATTATTGGGGAACATTCCCTTAATTACATACCTCTCTTGGGCAGTTAGAAAGGGCCTAGTGGCCGAAAATATGCTCTCGAAAAGAGACTAGTAAAATTAAAACGTTGATACTGAACGATTTCTGGGTTGCTAATTAGGAATCTGAAGTTAGTTTTTCAAAATTCAAAATGACGGATCCAAAATGGCGATCCATTAAAAAAAAAAAAAATGATTGGATTTATTCGAAACCCGGCACTCGAGAGCTTTTAGGGTCGCCGATTACGAATCTGATGTCAATTTCTTTAAATTCAAAATGGCGGATCTAATATGGCGATCAAATTAAAAAGAAAAGTACTAAAATTAAAACGTTGAAACTGAACGTTTTAAATATTGTCAAGGGTTAAAACTCGTTTCCAGTGGGTTTTTGAGCTTTCTGATTATGAATCTGATGTCAGGTTTTAAAAATTCAAAATGGTAGATTCAAAATGGCGACCAACTTGAAAAAAAATTATTGGATTTGTTTGAAACTCTTAAACGATGTTTCCACAGCAACCGAATCACGTGGTTCGCTCTCTCAATTATGAACGACGAATCAACCTGTTTACACGACACATTCGTGATTCACTTTGCATCTCTGCTTTTTGTTCTTTGCTTTTGCTTAATGTTTAATGTGCTGTTTATTGTGCATTTCAACGGTGGAGAAAAAATTTGCAGTGGTTAATTAGCTAAATCAATAGTTTTAACGAATCTAGCTATTTTTTCAATGTTTGTCCTGGTGGGGATGTGTGTGGTCTATGTGTTTTGACAGCCGTTATCGATAAAAATTAGAGAAGACAACGATTTGTTCTTGATTCGCATGTTGATTGGATCTGAATCACCTACAAAAGAAGTGATTCGCTCTCAAAATTTTTTATGGCGAATTACGTGATTCGGTTTGTAATTGGGGCGCCAATCACGAATGAGAGAGCGAATTACGAATGGAAGAGCGAATCACTTGGGGTGGAAACTTCCCTTTACGTGCGTCAAAAGTTGAGTGTTGGCCAACGTTCGTTGGGTCCGCCGACGCAAGGGTTGCCAATCTGACGCTCTCTATGCAAACACACACAGTATACTCAACTGTCAGTTTCATCCTTGAGCGGAACGTACGCAAAGTACCCATTCTGACCCAAGAATGATAGAATACAAGATTGCGCCGTCCTGGGCGTTGACATTTGTGTACCACAAGTAAACAAAGAATAGAGCGAAAAGAAGAACGAGTTGAAACAGCGAAAGCAGTTCACTTTACTGCGAAAAACGTGTTTTAATTTTGCTAAATGCGAAATTATTGCATTTTTCACCTAATCTATTAAAGAACAGTGAACATTGTAGTGCACTCCATTGTTTTGCAATTGAGGCTGCTTCAGCAAACGTTTTAGTGCACTCCATTGCTTTGCAATTAAGGCTGCTGCAGAAAACTACAGCAGCATCTCTGCGGGACTGATTAGTTAACTTGCTAATGGAGGCTGCGTGGAGCAGAAACAAAATCATTGTGAGGAAATGCTGTTAATATAATAATAGAGAAACATTTCGGGAACGGCTTTGCCGTGCCCTATGTACACAAAATGCAGCGATTCGTCCCAGCGCTACACTTGCATCTACGCTTCTTGCATCTGGACGTTTGTCGCAATTTAACACACAGCACTTCATTGTATTAGTTTTTACGCAGTCTTCAACTCAAAAATCACTCACAAATTGCAAATTAACACGATTTAAACTGATTTTTCACTTATAATTCAAATTTCTCTTTCGCTGATTTGTAAACAAAGGTTTATTTACAAGTTACCACAACTGTCAAAATCGGCAAAACCAAAGTAGCGGTACCACTGACGGCGCCACCTTCGTTCGCTGCACCGTGATTCTGACCAGCCTTTTGACATAAACTACTATTCCATGCGAACACAGATTTCATTGCATACTCAAATTTTACATACAAAACGGAACATTGATAATCTATTACTGGTACCACTTTTCGTCGTCGTTATATCATAATCTAATTTTCTCATAGTTCGGTTAGTGGGGCTCGTGCGAAATGTTCATTTTCACAGCTGCAGTACTGCAGTAGCTCGACACCTTCCTCACCAACAGCTCTGTCCTCTTTAGCTTCTTAATGTAACTGCAAATTAATGAAAAGGAAAAAAGATGGAAACTTAAGAAAAATTAATGTCCCAGCTTTTCACTAACGATAATGGTATTAACTCCTTACACCTTATATTTGGATCTCTGTATGGATTCGGAAGGTTGTGCATTTTGATTTGAATTCTGGCATTTGTCAGAGATATCTCTGCAACGTGTTAATAGCGAAACGACCTGATGCAATTTGCTCAGTTTGGGATACTGGTATTTTATTGATGGATCAGGGCATCCAACCAAAACAATTGCACAAGTATAAAGGGCACATTCAGCTGAAAAATTATGGTAGAAAATATATTTTTATTTAACTGAAAGCCAATTATGAATAAAATTCTATAATTAACGCACCTTCAACGACTGCTACTTTTCCTTTGTACCCAAGCCCACTTACATGCTGAACAAGCTGTGATGTCCATTTTCGCTCATCTCAACATCGTCGAATTTATACCATTAGAAGGTAGCAATGTATTTTCCACAAAGTCAGTTAACTCACAAATTGATTGGCAATTATCGCTCGCCTCGAATGACTTCACCCTCCAGTTTGGCTTAGCCATATACTAAACAATATAAGTTGCGTTCCAAATGCTTCACGATTTGCAGGTTTTTACAGGAAGCTGTTCCAGGTGGCCAGCTTCCATAACACAGTATATACAGTAATAAACCTTTTCGCAGTTTTTCACCAATTGGTCCCCGAGGAGTACTTTTGGGTTGCAACGTTTTCGTTTTGCGCGCACGGCAACACTTACTGTGGGGAATTTCGCCTCATGATTAGAAAAAGTTCTTTTCGAGGATAAAATCTTATCTTACTATCTTACTAATCTTACTCTTACTAATATTATAAATGTGAAAGTTTGTATGTTTGGATGTTTGGGAAATCATCACGCGGAAACGACTGCACGGATTTGCATGAAATTTTGTACGCAGATAGCTTATGGGCCAGATTGGTTAATAGGCTATTTTTTTAAGAGTTGCCACCTGTTAAAAAAGTTTAATTTATTTAATATGCGGGAACGACTGAATGGATTTGCATGAAAATTTGCACACAGATAGCTTATGACCTAGATTGGAAAATAGGCTACTTTTCTTAAGAGTTGCCACCTGTTAAAAAAGTTTCATTAAATTAATACGCGGAAACGTCTGAATGGATTTGCATGAAATTTTGCAAGCAGATAGCTTATGACCTACAGTGGAAAATAGGCTAATTTTTTGGAAGAGTTGCCACCTGTTAAAAAAGTTTTAATTAAATTAATACGCGGAAACGACTGAACAGATTTGCATGACATTTCGCACAGAGATAGCTTATGACCTATGTTGGAAAATAGGCTACTATTTTAAGAGTTATCACGTATTAGGAAAGTTTAATTAAATTAATACGCGTAAATGACTGAACTGATTTGCATGAAAGTTTGCACACAGATAGCTTATGACCTAGACTGGAAAATAGGCTACTTTTTTAAGAATTGCCACCTGTTTGAAAATGAAATTTTGCTCAAAGATGGTTTATGACCTGGATTGAAAAATAGGCTACTTCCTTAACCGGTTTTCCGATCAGAACGAAATTTAGTACACTTACTACGGATTTCGGAAGGATGGTCTTAGACTGAAAGTAAGTCCGATAACTCAAGGCCCCTCCCATACAAATTGGAATTTTCATATTACATACATATCTCTGGAAGTATTTGTGGGAGAGAACTGAAACTTGGTATAGTGATATGTATGTGAAATCAATGTTGGCATTAATCGATTGATGTTTTAATTAGTTAGTTAATTCGATTAAATTCAATCTGATTACAGTTAATCATGATTAATTTTAATCCGACTAAACAGTTAATCGTAACCGCGATTAAAAAATTAATTTTTAATCATTAACTCTTAATTTGATCAAGTAGGTTTGGTGATTAATTAAGTTATGCTGGAATTTCCCTGTGCACACAAAGCAAGTTAATCCGGTATGGCTAAGTCGGGTTTCCTCATCAATCTAAGCAATTTGGTGTGCATTTTCATTAAGATATATACCAACAAACGTTTTACAAACTAGGTTTGTAAAAGTTCCCAGTTTATGTATTACTAATAACAATAATTATTATTTTTTTATATTACGTGCTTTTTATAAGCGTAAAACACAAAATAATTACTATAACTGGTGTTTGGTTTCAAACTCGGACAAACTAGACAAATTAATCAGATTTTATTTTTAATTGGATTAACGATTAATGTTTTAAATTAATTAAACGTAATCGCAGCCAGCGATTAACGATTAAAAAAATGTTATCATTAATCGTACAGTTGATTACGACTAATTAATTTTAATCGTCAAACGCGATTAACATTTTAATCGTTAATTTTTAATCGTTAATCAGATTAACAGTTTGCCAACACTGTGTGAAATCATGTTCATATTCACGGAGAAAAATGGACGTTTTTGGAAAAGAGGCGTAGCACCTCCCATACTGACTGAAAGTTTCATATTGCATATCTCTTCAAATGTTTGGGGTAAAGCACTCAAGCTTGGTATGGAAATACATATGTATGTATGTATGTGAAACTAATACCATACTCATGGAGAAAAATGAGAGTTATTGGAAAAGGTGGTGTGGCAACTCCCATGCAAATTGATTTTTCTATGCTGCATATCTCTGGAGGTGTTTATTGCAGAGGACTGGAACTTGGCACCGAGATGTGTATACAAAATTAATTCCATACTCATAGAGAAGAATTTGCGTTATTCGAAAAGGGGACATGGTTCCTGCCGTACAAATTTACTGTTTTATACTGCTTATCTCTAGAGGTGTTCATGGTAGAGTACTGGGACTTGGTACTGGGGTATGTAAAATCAATTCTAAATTCATGGAAGAAGATTAGGGTTATAAGAAAAAGGGGCGTGGCACTTCCAGTACAAATTTACTTTTTCTTGCCACATATCCCTGGAAGTGTTTGTGGAAGAATACTGGAACTTGGTATGGAGTTGTGTATGCAAAATGTATCAATTGCTCATGGAAAAAATGTGAGTTATTAAAAAAGAAGTCATGTCGCCTCCCATACATACTAAAAACTTCTTAATACATATCTCTGGAAGGATAGAAAATCTCTCGAAGTATTTTAAATTTGTTATGGAGATTTATTTTATAAGTGCCGTACTGACAGAATAAATTTCATTAAATGGAAAAGGGAGAGCCGGGTTCGGCCTTATAATCTAAAGCTCTCTTGAGGCATTTGCTACAGTAATGAGAAGTGGTATTTTATCAAGGCCAGGTTACTAAATTTGAGTTGGAAATATTAGAACCCGCCGTGGCACTTCCATGAAGGTTACATGTTTACGCGTCGTATACCTGGAACCATTTTAAGGTAAACTTAGAGGGATTGATATCTTTCGTATGCCTAGCGCGCAGACGAGATTTTATAATTTCATAGTTTTAAACGGCCTAAATACCTTAACTCGCTTAAAAAATAACGAGCTATAACGAAATGGGCACAGAAATAAAATCTAACATTAGCCGTCATCGATTCGCCACTTCGCTGCTTGCTATGTTTGAGTTCCGGTCGCTTAACGAAAAATTTTGCATGTGAAAGCAACAACAAAGTTAGCTAGCACGGATAGACGATAGCTAGTTTGGTTGTACCTCATTGAATTCGTTCGTTTCGCCACTTGCTAACTGTTGGCGAATCGATGACGGCTATTATTAAATTATTTTTCATATTTGCATAAAAGCGCGGGGTGAAACCCGCGGTTATAAGCTAGTATATATATAATTGTGTTATTTATGAACAAAATGTAGGTTAAATATAATATCAATGCTTAATTGAGAACAATATCAATAGTAAAGTACATAATTATTGCTTGTCTTTCTTTAAACTTCAATAAAATATCCATCGTAAGATTATATTTTTATGAAAACCGTCAATTTTGTGAATTTATCAAGGAAAATTCTAAATTTCCGAATATATTTCAGTCATTATTCCAAAACAAAAAAACAGGTTTGTAGTTATAGAGACTCCAAAGCCTGCCAGCGCATCCGCCCAGAGAGCTCATAAGGCACACCCAAGTTTGACCGACCATTACCCGGAGCTCCTCAAAAATACTCAACATCAAAGTATAGAATGTCACAAATATGAATTATACACACATCCAATAGTAATTGCTATGAATGGCTACCGTATAAACTCAGGACACGCATTTTCTTGGAGACTCCGAAAGTTAAGGTGGTCACAAGTTCAGCCAGCGAATTAAATGGTCCATTACCCGGAGCTGCTCCAACATGATGAGTAGATTTTAGTGAGGCTCAGTTGCCACTGCCTCTGGATACACACTGGATATCGGAATATTGCAAAATAAATAGCAATTATCTCTTAAAATTATAAGAAGTGTTTGTTTACAAAATTACCTGTGCCACTCTGCCATAGTACGGTTGTTGCTCCCTTTCATACCACAGTAAATTTGTATGCAACTCTGAATCGGCAAAATTCATGCTTCTTCTCATTATCAACTCTGATCAGATTTTACCCCCGAGGAGTACTCAAAAAGGTTTATTACTGTATATACGGTGTTCCATAAGCTTTTCCTCCAAATCCTGTAAAACCTAGACGTCGTGAAACATCTGGAACGCAACTACATATTTGTAGTTTAAAAGATATGTATGTATATGTAAGCATACTTTTTAGTGGAATAGCAGCTTGACTAAATTTTGGGGTAAATGTTGCTGTGTGCACTACCGTCTACCCAAATCAGCTAGTCTATTAATAGTTGCCGTCTGCCTTATTGGTAATTGCTGCAAAAAACCTAATTTCATTTATTTAATTAGAAATAAAAGAAAAATCGAAGCAAACTTACCATTCGGACCATGTATGTTATGTATTCTGTATATTATAAAACAAATACATACATATATAAGTTAAATTAATACATTCATTCCAAATATTCTCACTTGGTTTCACTGATGAGGGTTCCACTGTTGCGGCTTCTCTCCTCAACCTCGACAGGTGTAGCTGGCCTATGTCTTATAACGAGCCTAATTTAAAAGTTTTTTGAAAATACATATTATGCAAAATACAACCAAAATTGTGCATTTTTTGTTCACTTATCCATAGCAATGAGCCCGTATAAATTAACTTGAAGCACCGATTTTGTGCCGAATTCTAATAATTTTTCCCGGCTTCTTAATGACTCTCGTATTATTCAAATGTCATTTCAGGTACATACTAGGGGTCTTCATCAAAAGTGATAAACTGTTGATCAACTTGATAAAATTATCATTTTGATAAATGCACAGTCAAACTTTGTATGGACATCTATTTAACAAAGTTTATAACTTTATCAAACGATTTTAATGGATAAACGTATAAATTTCAGCAGAATTCAACCCTGACAGACTGCCAGGTGATTGATTTTGCTACGAACACATAAAAAGCAAATTAGTAAAATGGACGAGGTAAGAATGAAACGTAACTAGCCAGATAAGTTAAATAATAAACAATTTTGGGCAATTATTTACCAAAGTGCCTTCATGAAAGAATGCGGATAAACAATTTATCCCTTTACCACTTTAGATGAAGACCCCTACTATGTAGGTGTGTGCAAAGAACATAGAAATGGTGTAACTGCCGGGCCGTTTCAAAAACTTGGCGATTAATTCACCACGATTTATTAAAGACGCATTTACATGT